ACGAGCAGAGGCACTGAGGAGGCAGTGGGCGGCAGATGGGTGGATGTGTTTTAGAAAAAAAAGAGTAAATTAGCGTATCCGTTCCCGAAGGGAACTCACGACAGCCGCTAACACCCGATAAACCCTAGCGGCAGATGCAGCGCCTAACGGTGGGGGTGAGTGGATAAGTCTCACAACCACTGGCACAAGTGCCGAAAACGACCCCATTCGCTGCATCCATGTACCCCTTGTGCCTGGCCACAAGTTCAAAGTTGACTGTGGGTAGCAGCACGGCTGGAAAAACCGCTCCCAGGCAGGACTTGAACACACACACACACCATTATTTTTGTAATGTTTTAGTGCGTGACTCACAACACGGTTACACCCAAAACAAAGCACAACCGTAGCTCACTTGTCCAGTACGCAACTGGTTGAATATTACAGAGTAGAGCAACACTAAAAGAAGATTATGGAGGTCACTGACCATGATCGCACTGGCACATTAAACAGGCTGCGCACAACGAAATTTCGTAGCGCCATAACGAATATTTTTTTAACGAAAAAAACTCACGAATATCCGCAAACCGGGAGGTTGCGCCCAACACGTGAACTTTTTTGTACTAGTGGGTCGACGCAGTGGCCGCGCGCGGAGATGCGAAGACTCAAGACAGGCAGTGTAAAATTTCAGTATTTTAGTACTCCAGGTCACGAAAAATATATTCGTGGATCTGCTCTGTTTCGGTCGCGTTGGGACAAATCTTCGTAGCACCTTTCGTTACTCTAGCCCGGACGGTCGACATCTTTTTTATTTTTTTATTTATTTACTTGAAAAAGCACATAACCACCAGGAAAGCTGACAAAGAAAAAAAGAGTAAGAGAGCTGAGAGAGAGAGAGAGAGAGAGAGAGAGAGAGAGAGAGAGAGAGAGAGAGAGAGAGAGAGAGAGAGAGACAGAGAGAGAGAGAGAGAGAGAGAGAGAGAGAGAGAGAGAGAGAGAGAGAGAGAGAGAGAGAGAGAGAGAGAGAGAGAGAGAGAGAGAGAGAGAGAGAGAGAGAGAGAGAGAGAGAGAGAGAGAGAGAGAGAGAGAGAGAGAGAGGAGAGAGAGAGAGAGAGAGAGAGAGAGAGAGAGAGAGAGAGAGAGAGAGAGAGAGAGAGAGAGAGAGAGAGAGAGAGAGAGAGAGAGAGAGAGAGAGAGAGAGAGAGAGAGAGAGAGAGAGAGAGAGAGAGAGAGAGAGAGAGAGAGAGAGAGAGAGAGAGAGAGAGAGAGAGAGAGAGAGAGAGAGAGAGGGAGAGAGGAGAGAGAGAGAGAGAGAGAGAGAGAGAGAGGAGAGAGAGAGAGAGAGAGAGAGTTGGGGTACAGTTAGGGGAGGACGAGACATTGGAATGGTGGTCGCCACAGTCACAGATAGTAGCAGTGCTGGTGGGCTACAGGCACTCCACTGACCATTAGGTCTCAGTATCGCCATGCCGGTAACGCACCAAGAGACAAAAAACGGAAGAAAATCTGAAGCGCAATACATGAATGGTAATTACAATATAGGTAATAGGGAGAGTGGTGACCAAGAGAGGACAGTATAGACCGTTAGTATGGGTGCTTCAATGCACATCACCAAACCGAGAGGTGCGATCTGGAAAGAACAGTGAGACGATCAACATGATGGGCTTCAAAGCACGTCCCAAGACCATGGCTGGTCTGAAATGTGTTTGTTGACACCTTTTTTAAAAGCTGTGAGTGGAGAGTGATTGGCCAGACGGGGAAAGACGTCCTTGGGGGAGGCTGTTCCACAATTCAAGGAAACAGTACGGGAAGGAACGTCGAAGGTAATCGGACTGGTGCCGGGGGGTGGTGTTTAAGAGCTGTTCCCGGTGCTGGCGCTGAGCATAATGCTGCTGCGGGTTCGAACAGTATCGGCCCGTGGTTTTGGGGGAGGGCGCATGCGTGTTAGACGGGGTGGCCCTTGCAGTCTTACGAATTTTCGTTGTGCGCAACCGCATTATCTCTCTTCAAAATCCGTAGCAGAGCTTAAGAATAGACTAGTGTTCTTCCTGAAGTTTTCATTCTGGAAAAATACTCGCCAGGCTTGAAAACAAGTGTTGCGTACTTCTGTATTCGTGCAAAATGTCACTTTCGAAGCCTTGTTGAAGTGTATCCGTCTCCAGGTGTTCGTGGCTCATTAAGAACTGACAGGGAGCTCTCTAATACTGGTGTGGCCATGATTGACCATGCACGCGCTATGCAGGCCTTGTATTGTTACTTCTAGCGCTGTGATTGAAGGTGTCAGATCAGATTTAGGGAAAAACTCAACTGGCCTTACAAAAAATGCAGCCAATTCATACTAGTCACGATCAGTTACCGCCACCATACCAAGGTCGTTGACGCTGTAAATTCTTTTGAAAAGAAATTTTAAAATCTCCAAAATTTCGCCCTTGGGGGTTCATCAGGGAGTAGAATAATAATGAAATGAAACTTGCTCTGCAGCAAACTATAATAGCGGAGCATTGAGACATTGAGACATTGGCACTACAGAAGGGAGAGCACGATGCGTTATACATTAACACTATAATAAATGAATGGAGGGGGCAACAAGAGGTGCACACTGGTTACATGGTGATAATCACACAAAGTGAGAGAGAAGCGTGAGAGAAGTGCCAGAGAAGTGTTTTAACAGGGGGCGCAAGAGAACGCAAGCCAGAGCGCAACATAAGAGTGAACCTTGTAACGTGTAACGTGGAAGTGAAACAACCGCACATGCACAAACTCAAATACAAACGCACACAGACACCCACACACACTCTCACACATACAAACAAACAAACACACACACACGCGCAAGCACGCAAACACACACGCACAGAAGTGTCCTATTCCGTTAAAGACCATCCCTCGTCCTCATTGATTTCGGGCCTTCTGTCCCTGATTTCAATCGCCTCCATTATGTTTCGGCTTGGGAGTGATGTCTCACGGCCCACGATCTGGGCGTTGTTGAAATGCTCGAACCCCGTCGCCGCCGTCGCCTCCACCACATCGCCGTGTTGCGTCCTGTAGTGGAATCCCCACGGGGATTTGGCCAGTCTGCCCCGTGCGCTGCCCCGTGAATTTGCAGCGTCAACGACCTTGGTGTGGTGGTGGTCACTAATCGGGATATGTAATCATGTAATCATGTAATCATGTACATGTAAGAATTTCTGTGATGTTCAGAATGGCTGTCCAGAATACTGGTCGTATCAAGAGTACATGGGGTTATGTACTCTTGGTAGTATGGACTGGTAGTATGCAAAATACATAATTGCTACATTTATCAGCAGCAAAAATTAGCTTGAATACTGAGCGTGCGGGTACATGTATAGCCGTTTATAGTTCTGCCCCGTATGCAGTAGTCTTATGTGTTAGCAATATTCATTGATGCCGTCCTTGAACATGACCATCTTTCATTTGGTCGTGATTGAGCGATCCAGGAACACATGCTGCACTTGGCGGGGGGGGGGGGGGGGGGGGGCTTGCTGACATTCACCTTGCATTGATCCTTGAGGCATTCACCATTCCTGACAGACGACAAGTGCATCATAATGGCAAAGAACGTTGTACCAGGAAGTGGCTTTCTACCAGAATGCCGAGCTTGCTTATACGTTGAATTGCAGCGCTCGAAATACCCTCAGTTATCAATATCCCAAGTGAAACAACATTACCTATATTAGCGACTATGACCGTATAGCTACCCACCGTGCAATACGGAACTTGTCCCGATCAAAACACTATAAAAGACACGTATTGCTTGTAACAGTCTTCACTAGGCAAAGACGGCGAGCAAGTGGATCCAGTCGTATCGCAAGGCGGTTATCCATAGTCAGTCAGCAGCAGCATGGACGCGCGTGTGGTGATGGTGCTACTCTGCACCTGTCTTGCTCTACCAGCGTCGTGCTATGACACTCGGGATGCCATTCTGCCCATAGACCCAGCCGAACTCGACAGGCTTCTTCAGGCACCAAGACCGTCGGAGCTAGGACGGATTCTGGATAATATCGGTGCTGTGTATACGCACTGGGGGCGTAACACCTGCAGCCAAGACTCCACACTTGTCTACGAAGGATTCGTAGGTGGAACATGGTACAAGGCGAAAGGAGGCGCTGCACAGTATTTATGTCTGCCATTAGTCCCCGAGTACAGCCAGTTCATTCGTAAAAGGCAGGGGAACTCGAACATCCAGACAGCCGAGCTCGAGACCAAATCCAAGCAGATACCGGCCTTCGAGCGCCAGAATCAACACACGCCTGTGTGCGCAGTGTGCCAAGCTTTCCGCCGTCCTGCTTACTTCATGTTTCCAGCACGCGTGACGTGCCCCACTGGCTGGACCAAGGAATATGACGGGTATCTGATGTCGGCCGCCGAAAGGCAGGAACGTACGGAATTTATCTGTGTGGATAGCGAGCCGGAGGTACTCGAGGGTACAAGCAAAAATGACAACGGAGCTCTACTGTATTTCATAGAGACCAACACCAGAACTAGTATGCCAGATACGTACATGGGGGAGAAGGAGTTAACCTGCTCTGTCTGCACCAAGTAACACAATTGCGATCCTGGGAACATAGCTCTGACCATCACGCCTTCCATTTGAAAAAACTACTCACCTCCCAGTAATCCTGATTAAATTTTGATTTTCTCACGCGCTCCATATCTCGCTACATATCACATGCTAACCCTAGGACGGCCACCACGTTCAGTACTCCTAGAACGACCAAACAGTGTCATTTGACACCTGCATATGATACATTTCTATGTCCATGACCAATATTATAGTTCTGTTGTCAGTGTAGGCTATCACTAGTAGTGGCATTTATGATGTAGACATTACGCTTTGCCCAGAGAACATTTTTTAGCTATAGGCAACCAAAGTACAGACTGTCAGTGTACGCGTATCGGCAATTGCGAAGATTGACCTCAAATACTGGAAAAAACCTTCAATCACTCGCATAGGATTTTCTTATAATCACAGCATTACAATAACAAGCAATGTGTAAACGTCACTTGGCATATGAGGAACTGTTTTTGGGAATGTGTGCTTTGGCAGTGGCGGGTTTAGGAGGGGGGGGGGGGGAGGGGGGCGCGCCCTCCCCCCCCCCCTCAACAGTTTCGACCTAGGTTTCGAAAAATAAAAGGCAGGCCGCCGGAGCTAGCTAGGCTAGGCTCGGGGCACGCGCGGCCAGAAACGATCCTGCACGGTAGAGGGGACGGCTCGATACCGGGACGTTTTGACAGCCAAATTTGTATAGACCCAAACCGATCATCGATGCATCAGCGTTGATTTTTCACTCGAAATATGTTTGTGGAAGGAAAGTGGCATGTTGAAGTTTGCTCTGGGGCCAGAGTCAATCGAACTGAGCCACTCCTTTGTGTTGACCCATTGCCTCCAAGTTGCCCAATTTTTCGCTTCAAAAAAGTTCAAATCAGAGGTGGCTCCAAACCGGACACGTTTTAGAGTGCACGTCAAATTCACTCTGGGTCTGAAATTAGGTAATTGCTATCGCTCCACGACGGCCAGTACAGAGTAACAATAAGCCTTGTGTGTGCTTCCATTAATTTTGATTGGTATTATTATTATTATTATGAACAGTTTCGCGTACTTGAGGACCAGCCTCTTTCCGCCTCTGTGTTCCTGAGCAATAGAAGGAGAGAGACAAAACTATACTATTATGATGATGACAAGGGAAGACATGGACTGCAAGGTACGGTTTACAAATCGACAATAAGCAAATAGCACTGAGAAGGTTGGGCAACTTCTGTTTCGTCAGTGTTCACTGTGCGTTTTTTACGAAGGCCTTCCACACTTGCCTGTCGGATGCCTTCTGCCGGAGGCTCTGCAGATGCGGGCTCCTCTTGAGTGGCGTTTGTCTGTGGACGCAGTCTTGCTGGATCTGGGTGACTAAAGTAGTCAGAGGTCTTCCTGGCTTGGCTGTGTTCGGTGGATTGAAGTAGAGTGCCATGGCTTGTTGCGGTGGTGTGTCTTCGGGTAGGCGTAGGACATGTCCCAGCATGGTCATTCTTCGTCTGTGGACTTCCTCGGAGATGGGCTGGCTCTGACATCTCCGGTATAACTCGATGTTTGTGATACGATTGGGGTAATGTATGCCCAGTAGCGAGCGAAGCTGTTGCCTGTGGAACACGTCCAGCTTGTCACTGACTGCCTTTGTTGATCCCCACGTACAGCAATTGTACAATAGGGTCGGCAGAACATATGCGTTGTAGAGGCGAACTCTGCGAGCTTCTGAGACATGCTCCCTCCGCAGCCACAGAGTGTACATGTTCTTGAAGGCAATCGTTGCCCGCTGCTTTCGCCTTTGGATGTCTTCGTTAGTTGCCATGAGTGATCCCAGCTGCTTTACTGTTTTCCAATTTTCTGTTGTTGACGATATTGTGACCCATTCCGTCTTCTGGGTGTTTACGTACAGCGACCAGGATTCAAGGACCTTCGCAATGATCGGCAGTGCAGCTCGTAACCAATCTAGACTTGTGCTGTAGTAGTTGACATCGTCAGCATACCTGCTCTCATGGGGTAGTAGTCTATCGCTTTCTGGACGGGGTGGCAGATGGGACAGGACATCCCTCAGGGCCGCTTCGAGATAACAGGTGAACAGGACTGGGCTTAGGCCATCGCCCTGTGGTGTTCCAACTGTGTTACTGAACGACTCTGAGGTCACCTGTCCAACACGGACCACGAGGGTAGTTCTCTCCAGGAGCAGTCGCAAGAGTTTGCGTTCGTCTGGGCCAACTACTCCATCCATCACTTCCAATAGCCGCTGCCTGTTGATAGTGTCAAAAGCACGACTCATGTCGATTCCCAGCATGTGGTAGGTGAATGGATGCCTCTGTGTCTTAGCACTCATCCAACGCTGTGTCCATACGACGTCTGCCGTGCTCCTGCCTCTTCTGAAACCTGATTGTATCGCGCCAAGGTGTCCATCGACGGCTGGGGCTATTCTTTTGAGTACAACCAGAGATAGAGCCTTTCTGATGGTATTGAGGAGAACAACTGGTCTTAGGCTTGTTACTGGACCTCTGGGTTTTCCTGGCTTTGCTAGTGGTACTAATATGCCAGCTCCAATGACTTGCGATATGTCTTGGTTATTGGTAACAGCTGTGTTTATGAGTCCGACGATCAAGGGTGACAAGTATCCTTTTCCATATTTCAGCAGCTCCGCTGGCACTCCGTCAGGTCCTGCAGCTTTCTGGTTGTTCATTCTTGACAGTGCAGCTTCCATTTCATGTACTGCTACTGGGTTTGACAGTGGCGTCGCCAAGCCTTCCGGTGTCGTCACATGGTTTGTTGGTGTGGGATTGCACAACAGTGTGCTGAAGTGGTCACGGACGCGGTCAGCTCTGTCGACGTCTCGATCAAGGACTAATCCGTCCACAGACTCCACAATGATTTTCTTTTGCTTTTCTCTGCGGAAGACTGATGTTGCTTGGTACATTTTGATGCTGTCGGGAGCGCGCTCAATAGCTTCTGCTGCTCTATCCAGCTGGGAGTTGGCGTTGTCCAAGCACCTGCGTCGTATTTGGTGGGAAATCCTGTTCCTCTCTTCTCTAGCTCTGCGTTTGCCTTCATCGTCCAAACTGCCGTCCTCCAACCGTAGACGCAGTAGTCTCTGCTGCATCGACAACCGTTGGATCTGTGGGTCTGGATTGACGAGTCCCCGACGCGTTTTCACCATTGTTGGTATGCGGTGCTTTATTGGCGAGAGGCGAGCCGCTGTTTACCTGCGACAAGAAGTAAGTAGTTGATTTTTCGAAAGTCGTAAAACTCAAGTCGCAGTGCGAAGCAACACGTCAAAAACTCACCTGCTTGATATGGCGCTTCTGGTCATCGCAGAGCCATGAAATTTTGGCTCGGAGTATAACAACACATCGTAGTCTCACTGTGACATATGTTTTCTAATCAAAATACCAAGAGAGAAAGTGAATATTGAGTCCGTTCCGGTTTGCAACCGGTGTCCTATTTGAAACCGTCCCCTCTACGGTGCTCGGGCTGGTGGTGATTGTACACACTACAGACTAGTACAGTACAGTCTTGTTCAGTGGCTGAACAGTACACCTCATCCCGAAGGATCACGGCTAGCCTCGTGTCTCGCCTGCTGGAGCAGGAGTCGTCTCTTGGCGACTCTCTGACTCAGCTCCGGACGGACAAGGCGACGGTTCGGGCCGAGAAGCGGAGCGCGTTCAAGTCTATGGCTGACGCTCTTCGCTCGGATCACCGGGAGCTGGCCCCTGTTCTCGACCTGGCCTCAGAAAAGGGTGCATCCAGCTGGCTGACCTGCCGCCCCCTCAGCCGCCATGGTTTCACACTCAGCAAGGGAGATTTCCGGGATGGCCTGTGCCTCCAGTACGGCTGGACACCTCCTCGGCTCCCAAGCCTCCGCGTGTGCAGTAAGCCGCTGAATGTGAGTCACGCCCTGTCGTGCCCGTTTGGTGGCTTCCCGACGCTGCGACATAACGAGGTGAGGGACATCACCGCCACAGCTCTAAGGCAGGTCGCTCACAACGTGACAGTGGAACCCCACCTCCAGCCCGTCACCAGAGAGGCCTTCCGCCATCGTACAGCTGTCACGGAGGAGCAAGCTCGGCTGGACGTTGCGGCTAGTGGTGTGTACGTGTGGGGTGGCCGATTCGAGCGCATCTTTATTGATGTATGGGTGTTCAACCCTTTTGCGTCTTCGAATCGTGCCACCTCCCTCGCTGCTAGCTACAGACGCCATGAACAGGAAAAGCGCCGGAAGTACGAGGAGCGAGTACGTGAAGTTGAGCATGCCTCCTTCGTGCCCGTTGTGCTCTCTGCCTCTGGTGGCTATGGCAAGCATGCCAATGCTCTTTTCACGCGGATCGCCTCTCTCCTGGCTGAGAAGAGTAAGGAGCCATACGGGCAGATTATCTCCTTGCTGCGCTGCCGCCTTGGGTTTGCCCTGGTGCGTTGTGGTGCTATGTGCCTGTGTGGCTCAAGGAGCATGTTTGCTCCTGCCATGCCTGAGTCCCCTGCTGTGCTAGTGGCGGCGGAGGCACGCATCCAGTGAACCTGCACAGTGCAGTGATCCTACTGAGTGACCATGGTGACAGACTCTGTAATACTGTATCTGATGATTCGTTTTATGTGTTGATTCTTCACAAAATGTGTTATTTTGCCCGTACAAGAGGCTCAGTGAAAAAAAAAAAAAAGTACAGTACAGTCTACAGAGTACTCGTACAGTGAGCATATGCACGGCCACAGAAACACGGTGGCCTGACTGTGTACACTGACTGTACTGTTGTACAGTGTGATCCCTGCTGGGACGCGCTCGACGCGTCTTCAACGTACAAACATCGAAGAAAGGTCCTCGAGTCAATCAAAACACGATTCGAATGCCGAAGCCCGGCGAGGCCGAGGGCTCAGGCGATCATCCTCGTTCGAATCGTGTTTTGGTGGACTCTAGTCTAAGACGTTTCTTCGATGTCTCAGCGACATCCCAAAAGGCCAAGCTCTAGTCAGCAGAGCCTGGACTTTTTGTAAAGCGCTCCAACAGGAAACAGTGGGAGTGATGAATTCGCTGTTATTCCAGTTGAACTTTCGGAGCGGACTGACAGTCACACTCCGCCAGACGTGGAAGCACCTGTTGTCAGCGAGCAGCCAGAACATGAAGAACAGCGCACGGTGACAAGTACCGCTAGCGCTCCCTATGTAAAGGATGCTTTGAGCGGTGAGTAATTGTTGGACTCGTATAAATATTTGCCGGTATGTGAGCAAGTCAACTGCAATTAATTTGAAGTACCGTATTATCGCAATAAAGAGAACAAATTCTGCAGTCATCGCCACAAACGAAGTCATGAAAGTTTACCAGAATTAATTTTTTTCGAGCTACGCTCCCACAAGTCATTGGCACACCGCTATGTCCCGACCTCCGCCAATCCTGCTGACTTGGCACCAACTTCCCTCATTCTACTTTGGCACTGTATTTTGTTCTCGTAACACATCATTGAATGTATATTTAATCATTGTTCA